TCCCCAGCTCCCCCTCTCCCCTCCCAGCGCCGCAGGGAGACAGGAGTGGAAGCCGCAGTCACTTCATCACGCCTTGTTTGTGCTGCCCTCCGGGAGAGAACTCTGCCCTGCTCCAGCCTGGAGTGATCCCACGGGGTCAGTCCTTGTCCTGCTCCAGCCTGAGCTCACAGTGTGTGCTTTGGGCACAGCCACAGAGCCCTCTGTGCCCTTTGGGGCTCCCAAGGACACGAGGGCACTGACACCATGTCAGGGTTAGATCAGAGCCATGTGGGTGCTGACACCATGTCAGGGTTAGATCAGAGCCATGTGGGTGCTGACACCATTTCAGGCTCCCCTCAGAGCCGTGTTGGCACCGACACCATCCCAGTGCAGACAGGTAATTACCTTCCAAGGCTGAAGGGACTGTGCGGGACCAGTCACCACCTCACCTACAGAGCTCTCCCTGTTCCCCCAGTGCTGTCCCACCTGAGTGTTTTGAGCCAACCTTTCCTCCAGTCCCTGCTAGGTCCTCACACAACCTTCCCTTCCCCAGGCTGCACAGCCCCAACTCTCTCAGCCTGTCCTCATGGGGCAGGTGCTCCGGTGCTCTGATCAGCTTCGTGGCTGTATCAATCCCTGCTCCAGGCTGGCTGACCCTGCTTCCACCTCCTGGGAACGTGCCTTTCACCCCGGAGGAAGGACAAGGCTCTGGGATAAGCCAGGTCACCTTCTGCCAGACATGCCTCAGCACTGACACCACTGGAACTGGTCCTGCTTTCTTTGGGGCCCAACGTGTTGGTCAAGGTAAAAACACCACATTTTGGTTGAAAAAACCCTTTATTCCCAGAACATCCCATGAATCACATCATGTCCCAGCCTTGCTCCTTTATGTATAAAATACTGGTAAAATGGGTTTTTCCAGAAGCAAGTTCATTCCCACAGTGTCTCCTCATAAGAGAAGCTCATCCCACAGCTGGAACTTGTGCCACAGCAGTTTGGAAGCAGCAGAGAGCTGTAAAGTAAAGGTCACAGATTCCTGCAGCAGCAACATGTGGAAAGTCACCAGGGCCCCAGCTCTGGCTCATGTTGGCAGGGACCTCCATCCCAGCAGCACTCCAGCTCCATGGGGACCTCCATCCCACTCATCCCTGCTGTGGCACACAGCAATGGAGGCTTTGGGGGCTCTACTGAACCACCTGAGGCCACAGATGCTCCTGGAAGTCCCTTTGGACTTAACACACAGTATGAATGTTGCACAGCAGCAAATCCAGTTCCCCAAGAGGTTCCTTCCATCTCACCTTTGGATGCAGAGGACAACAAGAACACTTGGCTCCCCCCAAGGGGAATCAGCCTGTGCAGGGACAAGGAGACTCCAGAAGGCAAAATAAGTGAACAGGGGAACATCAATTAAAATGCTAAGTGAGGCTCATAAACAGAAAAAAAAAAACCAGTTCCAAAGATTTTCTGGCTCCTACACAGCCAAAGAGGAAACAGACTGGCAACAGTCCCACTTGGGTGTGAGACTAACTATAGCAGGGCACAACCACATCAGCTTCAAACACCATCAAATGACAACTTTTAACCTCTAAACCCTATGCTGTAGAATCTGGTGGAATTGGCCCAGTTCACTGGGACATGCCGAGATTTGCCAGGGCCCCTGCCCCGTG